TTGGCCCATGAAACCAATAAAGTTGGTATCTATCTATCGATAGCAGCCCTTCTGAAAAGGTTTCTAAGGGTTCATGAGACTGACAAAACCAAAAAAGTCAGTTTTGAATGAATGCCTTTTTACAAGTTATTCTGAGAGTGGGTAATGACACAAGGAAAATGACCCGAAGAAAATGACGTTTCATTCCGCATGATCTAAAAATAACGCGAATACACACAAAATTGAATAAGAATATTTCTGATACCTGCACCTACATGTAGTTGCATTATGCAGACTCTTTAAAGATAGGACAAAGTCATTGATGCAATGTTTTTCACAGTACAATTGCATTTGCTACCTGTGTATGTACAACTGTGGATGTCTAATATATCATGGACAATAAGGTGACACTAGGTGCTTTACTTAATGAAAGTTGGCAAGGGGCATGGGAATTATGAATTACAATCTACATACATTACATGCATATTATGAACTTTCTTCACCAATCTGTCAGATCGGAATGAGGGTCTGCTCCTTTAGACTACAGCCTACCTGCTTGAGCAAATCCACATAAGATTTCAAAGTCCTATTGTAATTTGGGGCTTTTTTTGTATGAAATCCCTGACTCTCCTTTCATTTGCCTGTTTGGTACAGGCCATTTACTTTGAAGATGTGGGGCCATAAAAAGGGGCAAGGTCTAATTTAAATACCCTGGGATTTTGAAGTTAAGAATCAAAGAGATTGGAGTTATAAATTATGTATGCATATTATCATTATGAAGGCATTGCAATACACTAGTTACAAATGATGTAATAACAACAATAATGATGATAATAATACTAATGTAATAATACTATGTACACTTCACAAAATCAACAGATGCATTACATGTCCATGTAGGCACTATATAACTACCGGTATATTTGTTCTTAACCTTCAAGTTACAAGCTACAAATCAAAATCATTGCAACCTCTCCCCCTCCACCTCTTCTCTAACAGCAATGATGATGATAATAATAATAATGTAATATAACTACATGTATGTAACATTTCTAAAAATCAAAATCAACAGATGCATTACATGTACATGTAGGTAACAGACAACAGCACTATTCTTCTCCATGTTCAAGTTACAAATCAAAATCATTGCAACTTTTCCCCTTCCCCCTCCTCTCCTGCCCCCCCCCCCTCTCCCTCCCACCATCATCGCTTCACTGCCCTACCATTGTAACTAATAGAAAACAAGAAACAATACATTCTCTTTAAATCACATGCCTTGGAATTGGGAGGTCCAGGGTTATCTTCTTATGAACCATTTGAAATCTCCATGGAAGAAAGAACCGCATCAGTTTCATAATAGGGGAGAGGGGATTAATAGAGGGTGCTCTTTGTTCCCCCTCCTGGTCAACAGTGGGGCTTCAAAGTGGATTTGAATGGGGGGGGGGGCATCAGAGGGGTATTAAGGGGGTATAGAAGGGGTATTAAATACCATAGGACATCATAAAGGCTTCAAGCAGGTCATAAATAGGCTTTCCCTACAGCCTTCTTAATGAATGGAGCTACAGTAGCAGAATAGATACAATGTGAGCAACGAGACCATTGGACCGGATTGAAGATTAACTATGGTGGTCTACATGTAATTTTGTCAGGCCTAGAATGTCCAACTGCAGACAAGAAACAGTAACTCAAAACCTAAACCAAAAAATGTTCTAAAATTTTAAGAAGATAGACGGAAAGGGTACAACATTTTCATATTCCAAGTCGGGAGCAAAGGGTCCTAGAGGATTTTAAAATCCTGTGGAAATACAACAAAAATATCTTAGAAGAAACGATCCTTTGAATAGGGTGCAAAACACTGTGCAGGATATAATCCCTGTATTAGAAACCCATTGACTACTGGACTTTCTCATTCCCATCTGCTTTACTATGGTTCCCAAAGGCAATGGTTTCCCTGTACCTTGATATAAAATCTACTGTAAACTTCTAAGGCCATTTAAAAAAATATACATGTTTAGCGTCCCCGCCCGCTTCCTTTTTTGGGGCCGCCTCCTATTTATTTATTTTTTTTTTTTTTTTTTTTTTTTTTTTTTGAAAGAAAAAAAAAACATGAAAAACACTGCTAAAATGGCTCTATTTCTGATTTTTTTTTTTTTTTTTCTTTTTAAATTGTCGGCGGCAATCTTGAAAAAAAATAGCCTCGACTGTCAGGGAAAATGTACCGAGCGGCCATTTTGAAATAAAAGATAAAAAGGGCCTCCTCCTTCCTATTTTTCGAAAAAACAGGACGCTAAACATGTTTTTTTTTATTTGGCCTAATCGATGTTTAGGTGTTTTTCAGAGAGTAATGATGTACAGTGCCTTATGTAATATACAATGAATTTTCATTTCCTATTTGAATACCAATCGTATGTGAATAGCCCTTTGCTTTCGGTGGGCGACTCGGAGAGATAGAGACAGATAGATAGTCCAGCATTGCACAGGTATACAGGGGTAGGGCAGTGTTGATTTAACAAGGTGTCACCAAAAGTAAGGCACACATCGAAGGACGAAATCAAAAGGAACGGTCACGTATGACATGGGTAGCATGCCAGCGATTAGATCTCCTGTCAACGTTAGGCCCCATTTACACCGTTGAAAGCCCAATGTTTTAAATTCATCTATTTATATAGTGTCATTTACACCACTAGAAAAAACTGTTTATACTACAATAGGTGACAGATTAAAAAGCTGTTCATTCCGACACTGAGAAACGTAATCATTATTTTGCGTAAGAATGAAGAAACCCTGGAATAGTTCAAATGAAGGTCTAGATAATGCCCTCAGTGTCTACAATTAATGTTTTAATGTCATGGAGAAGTGTTGAAGTGAACCTGTCACTTTTAAATTCGACACCGATGCCTTCGGTGTCTACAATTAATGTTTTAATGTCATGGAGAAGTGTTGAAGTGAACCTGTCACTTTTAAATTCGACACCGATGCCCTCAGTGTCTACAATTAATGTTTTAATGTCATGGAGAAGTGTTGAAGTGAACCTGTCACGTTTAAATTCGACACCGATGCCCTCAGTGTCTACAATTAATGTTTTAATGTCATGGAGAAGTGTTGAAGTGAACCTGTCACGTTTAAATTCGACACCGATGCCCTCAGTGTCTACAATTAATTTTTTAATGTCATGGAGAAGTGTTGAAGTGAACCTGTCACGTTTAAATTCGACACCGATGCCCTCAGTGTCTACAATTAATGTTTTAATGTCATGGAGAAGTGTTGAAGTGAACCTGTCACGTTTAAATTCGACACCGATGCCCTCAGTGTCTACAATTAATGTTTCAATGTCATGGAGAAGTGTTGAAGTGAACCTGTCACGTTTAAATTCGACACTGATCCGTTTATGATCCGACCAACTTAAAAAGAAGTTTACATTAGTATCCATACGTATGTTTACTAATTCTGGGTTTTATCAATCATTGTGCATGCATGACTTGTTGCACTACTCTGTATTGGATAGAGCATGATAGAGCAGAAGAGAGGACTGAGGTGAGGCACATACAAGCAAAATCCGGACTAAATTCATCCATGTTTTGCCTTTACCTTTACCTTTACCACAAATACTGGAAGAATGCTGAGACAGCAGTCAAGCTTCCAGGTCTATCTTCTTGGTCTATCTTCTTGTACTCATACTCTAATAATAATAATTCTCATTATATACAAGTCAGGGAGGCAGAGGGGCAAGAGGTTGCATCTTGACAGGACAATGTACCATGTACAATGTCCCAGGAGCAAAGAAATTGAAGAAATCAGTTCGAGTATTGAGAGATATGACACTGTTCCTTCCAGCAACGATCAAGTCTGGTTTTGAAGGCGTCTATGGTGGGAGCCTGAACTACTACTTCAGGCAGAGAGTTCCAGTCGTCAATCACATGTACACTCCACAAACTAGAGGGGTCTAAAAGGGCAACTTCTGACAAATCTCCGCAACGCCCAATAGGAGGAAAACCTAAAAAAAATGGGACTTTTTGTTGTACTGACTAGGCGTTGTGGCGTGCGCCTGTAATCCAGCTAACAGTGGAAGTTAAAAACTGATTCAGCTGAGGACGCAGGTTCGAAACTGAGTCACGTCTTTCGGATGGTGACGTTAAAAGTCGGTCCCCAGACGTAAATAATCATATCTGATTGATACACGTCTGTAAAAACCCAATAACACACACACACAAAGGAGGAAAACCCAAAGAAATGTAGTTTACCGGTACATTTGAATGATTTTATAGTAACAATCGAGGAATGGAGCTGGAAGAGGCGAGGATGCTACACAAAAACTGTATTTTGTTCCTTCTCATTAGAGGTATAATTTTACGTCTCGAGACCAACCACCTAAATTACTCTAACTTTTTGAAGACACAAAAGTATAATTTATATCCCATTTTATAAGAATAAATGGGGGAATAATTGCCAGCATAGAAATGAATTTGCTTAGAAATGGACAATTCATAGTATATGGTACTGGTAGAAGTAGTAGTCTATATAGTAGTATAGCGGTATAGTACATATGCATTCTTATCATCATCTTCATCACTGCAGATGTTGTTGTTGTAACCATTTACCGTTATCATCATTTACCATCATCACATCATCACTAAGCACTATTTCTCTTTCTTTGAATCTTGAAAGTCACAATGGAAGTTTTTCATGAAATGATTCATCTTTATCTGATACACATTTTGGTCTTGATAATTCTTTCTACATTAAAACTACAAAATACCTTACACTGCAGTGCATCAACACACACTTTGCAACAAGATATTACAAACAGATAACCATGAAACTCCATGAAACAACGTATTATTGTGGCTACCGCGCGGCGCCCGAGTTTGCACGCCGTAGCTCGGCGTACACCGTCATAACATCCGGAGTACCGCATCATTCACTGCGCCCTCGATACACACACAAACTACCGCATAGTCATAGGCACAAAATGCCACCAAATAAACCCCGATTTCATGATTTTAGAACGAGAGAAATCTTACCAGTGTCTCGGTAACAGGAATCTCTGCTATCTTTGATTCCGACTGTCAGCTCGTTTAACCAAGACAGTTCAAAGGATGCTCAAAAAATCGCTAAATATAAGCCACATAGTCAGGCTTTCCGTTAGAAATCGGCTTCTATCATTCTCTGAGAGTCAGTGTCGATGTCGAGAGCTTGAGTGGAGGGCGTGAATAGAAGTCGATTGTTGACAATTGCATGCGCTGTTCTTTTCAGCAAACTTACTCCTCAAATTAAGTCGTTTCTATGTTATGATGTTATCGACAAACCATTCATAATCACATTTTAAAAAAAAGTTGCAGTCTGCTTTATACTTCATTTGAAATAAATATTTCCACAAGATTTGATTTTTGTTTCAACGTGAGGGCGGGATAATTCTTTTAATTGATGTATTTTGTTTAAAGAAGCCATGTTTCCAAGGGGCGGGCAGGCGATATTCCTACGTAAGGTTGTGTTACAGGTGTATACAAATGGGTTTATTGGGTAGTAAAATGTTTAACGTTGATTTCCCGAGATTTAAAAGGTATGTCTAATCATTATTTGACTTTATAAAAAGATATCTCCAATTCCCTTTATTTCCTAATTCTTAATGAGAGAATAAAAGTCATATCATTTACAATTGATTGGATTTGAAGTAGGATTTTGAATCGTTCATAGGGGACATTGCCAAAATGGGTTTCGCGGTATACAACGTACGTGAGAAGTTTGGCCTATATACATATACTACTTGTAAATGAAATGTTGTTTATTTATTTTAGTTTAAAAATGCTATTTGCATTTGAAGGAAAAAAAAGGTGGATACTGGATTTCATATATATATATTCCATGCGAATAGCCACGAACCTCCTGATCTCATCAAAAATATGACATTACGTAACCATGATGTTGTTGGTTGGTTCTTCGTTTAGATGGCGCTCTTCAATCTCAAAGATTATTTGCGCCAGTCAATTTCGTGTATAGCTTTGGCGTGGGCTTCGGAAATCAAGCCCACGAGCGACTTTCCTTGGTGAAATGAAATTAATAGTGATAAGGTTTTATAAAAAAAAAAAAAAAAAAAAAAAAAAAAAAAAAAAAAAAAGCTGCAATATTAAAATTGCATAAAATGCACATAAAAGGCGAGATGGGAGTTGGTTGCAATTGTTCATGGAAAAACCGCAAATACTTCATTTTATATATTATTACAGGATCGATATAAGTTAAGGGGATCCCTGATAGCTTTAAAAGCTATCTAAAACGATTAGTATCGTATATGTAACCCAATAATTCACGAGTAAAAATTGGGTTAGACATCAATAATTGTTTCAGATTGGGGTTGTTCAATTTAATCCTTTCTTTTAAGAGACGTCTATCTTTGTCGTATTTTGTACAATAGAAAATAAAATGTTTAATTGTTTCATCTTCTTGACAAACTTCACAAAGACCAGTATCGTGTTGGTTAATTTGAAAAAGGTAATAATTTAAACTACAGTTACCTACTCTTAGTTGTTGTATCAAGCATTCTTCTCTGCGAGATAGGCCTTGTCTATGTATGGGCTTTGAAACGTCGCTATGCAAAGCATATAAAAATCTACCGTGTTCTGCATTGTCCCATTCTGCTTGCCATAATTTGTTATAATGGATCAAACGAGAGGCTGCCAATTCACTTCTTGTATTTGGTATAACTATGTCTATACACCTTTTCATGGCTCCTTTTTTGGCAGCCCGATCTACGATCTCATTGCCCCTAATATCGCAATGTGACGGAATCCATTCAAAAGCAACACAAACATCCTTAAACTGCAAAATATTAATTATGGATAAAATTTCATTTACAATAGCACATCTAATAAAGTATGAATCGATCATTTGTAAAGCTGACAAAGCGTCGCTAAAAATTACCACCGAAGAGGATTCAATAAATGTATTAATCCACTCTAGTGCCATTAGTATGGCCACTAGTTCTGCTCTCATAATACAGACATAATCTAAAAAATTTCACCACATTATAATGAGACACATAAAATGCGGCTCCTGTCTTCCCATCCTCGAGTTTAGAACCATCTGTATATATATGTAAAAACCCATTCCATGAATTTCCAATGCTATCTAGAACAATCGATTTTATTTCAAATGGAGGCATTTCCTTTTTTTGCACTTTGCCATGATGAAAAGAAGTATGCAGCTAACGAAAGAGGGCGGCATGATGCTTTCATGAAAGTGTACTATATTAGTTTGGATACTTATGGAAAATATTTTTTAAATATGTCTGTGTTTATAATGTATGAGACACTTTACTACATGTATGTTTATATTGTAAGAACAATTATGTTCCTATTCATCATTTTGTATAATTATGAAAATCTGAATAAAGGCAAAAAAGCTTTTTTTTTTAAATAATATGAATAAACAATTATGAAAAAGCAAAATTAAAGACAAAATGGGAAAATTTTACCCCATTTATATATACTTCTATAAATATATATTTTTAATTCCTGCTCACTTTCTCTGTGATCCTGACACTTATCTGTTTGTTGTTTACTTGTTGTTTTGGGGTTGTTGTTTTTTTACTACAACAATATAGTTACAGACCTCCACTGACACAAGACCCTCATATAGTAATAATAAAATCTTGGAGTTAACCAAGTGCACCTTGTAATTATATGTAAAAATATGAAACAAATTGGTTTCTTATGGGTCGCAAGCAGCAATTTCAGCCTACACTTTGTGTTTAAAGATTTTTTTTTATTCAGGTTGCTTAATTTATATTGAACTAATAAATTTGCATAGAAAATGTTTTTATAGTGTAAAAAATGTTCCTTTTTATAATGTTGTATCCGAAAATATTAATTTGAAGTATAATCGTCACCTTTGACCTTTTCTATATTGAATTTGTTCTTTCTTTGTTCCAAATTGTAGAAATGTATCACAATTTACATACTCGAATAAATTATTACTATATTAGTTTTGATACTAATATTTGTTTTAATATGTCTTTGTTTATAATGTAAAAGACAATAGACTATGATCTATGCTTTAAGACAAATTATGTTCCTCGTTATAATTGTATACATTGATATCTGAATAAAAGCAAAAAAGCTTTTTGAGGTCTTTTATAAGGTAAACGAAAGGTTTGGTTGTTTGTTTCGAATTTCGAATTTTGTTTCAATAAAAAGAAAGGCCATTTTGATATTGATGGGCATATCAAGATTTGCCTGAAATACCGTTCATATTTTTTTCAATATAAGATATAATAACGTCAGAGGCAACAAGAGTTCCAAAATATTTAAATGCGATAATGTGTTTATATTTTCTTTTCCAAATATGATTTACTCGTAAACGAAACTCGTTGGTGGCGGTATACATGTCTTGAACATCACAACAAACCTCCAGTACGGTGGCCGAGTGGTTAAGGCGTTGGACTTAAGTTCCAATGGACGTAATGTCCGCATGGGTTCGAACCCCATCCGTACTAAACAGAGATCTTTTTTTAAATATTTGTTACAGTACCCTTTTACAATTTGTGTGTGTCTCTCGCTCTCGAATACATGACAAAACATAAAAAATAACCTCCCTTACACGGAGATCGGTCTACTTGGGTTCAAATGGCCACGAAGATATTCTTTTTATATTGTGCCTATTACTTGGCGGCAGATCCAGGATTTGTGTTTAGGCATGGGGTCGGGATTAATCGGGGGGAAATGGGTGATCGGGATTGATTGGGCTTGGTCGGTTGGTTTGATCGGCAGTGGGAACCCACCATCAAGCCCGATCACCCATTTTTCCCAAACCAATCCCGACCACATGCCTAAACCCAAGCTCTTCCCGACCGCTATTCGACCATTGGCGACCCACATTCAACCACTTACGACTCCTGCACGACGTATAGTCGACCACAACTTCGATTTCTTCTCGATCATTTCGATCCCAACGCGATCCCCACTAGACAAATCCCTGTTCGAACAGGTCGATCTGCTCGGGTCGAGATTGTGTAGAGATCCCTTAAAAGGGATCTCTACACAATCTCGACCAGAGATCCCTTAAAAGGGATCTCTACACAATCTCGACCCGAGCAGATCGCCCTGTTCGAACAGGGATCCAAGATGACTCGTGAATTGAGTAGTTGCACAAAATATTATCGTCAGCTGATACTTATTTTTGATCAGCGTTCAGTTCATCTCAGACACTCAAGAGATGTAAATCGAACAGTAACAGTTGTGGGCAGTGGCGGATCCAGGGGGGCGGGGGCCCGGCCCCCCTGGCGTCAAAAAAGAAAGAATGTGTGCTAAAGAAAGCAACAAAAAAAGTGTAGTTCTGATCGAAGGGAAGCTGATGAAATAGTACGGAACTTTTTTGCCACGAGACTTTTAGCTTTAGGGCCTACACTCTAAATAAAAACTGCTCAATTTGAGTAAAAATGTTACTCTTTTAAGTAGTCAAAAGGGAAACACCCAACTTTTGAGTAAACTTTACTCAGCATGTGTTGAATAACAAATATACCCATCTGTTGAGTAAAAATATTACTCAATAAAAGACTAAATCTCTACTCAGTTTGAATGAGTCAACCTTTACTCAATATTTACTCCTTTGTTGAGCAGTTCCCCCTTTTACTCAGCATCTGGGTAGAAACGTAATCAACTCATGTCGAGTAAGAAGTTGCTCATGAGTTAAGCCAAATTTTACTCAATTAACGAGTACATGTTTTGACTCAAATTGTTTGAGCAATTTTTTGCTCAAATATTGAGTATGATGTTTTCTGGGTAACGCTTAGTTGCTCAATCAATAGTGAGTAAAAACATGTACTAAGTTAAGTACATGTTTTTACTCAATACTGATTGAAACAAAGGTGGATTCAACTAGGGTTTTAACTTTTTAACTAAGGGTTTAACTAAACCGCTGATTAATATTGTTCTTTTTTAACAGCTGTTAAGTAACCATTATTTGTCAATAGAGAATATAAACCATAATTTTGCCTGATTTATAAATTTAGCATTGATTTGAAGTTCTTCACTCACACACTATGCAAGTAATATAAAGTCCACGACATTTTAAATTCAGTAACATAATTTGTGGACTTTAATTTCCAAAATCAGTTTTAATCACAGTGAAAACTCAAAGTTTTCTCATCATACATGATATTAAAAAGTATGTAGTTTAAACATTT